CTCTACTGCTATCCAACGTCACTTCCCGAGCTAACAAGTTTGACGAGCTGGCAACTACAGTCAGGTCAGCCGCCGCGAGCGTCGTTGCCATATGTGAGGCTTGGCAAATTGTGCCTGAAACGTGTCATATTGAGGGATATCAACTCTTTCATCACCTTCGTTCACATAGACGCGGAGGGGGCGTTGCCCTCTTCTGTCAAGATGACCTACGCCCGTCACGCCTGGATGTTCAAGTCCCAGCAGATGTGGAAGCATTATGGGTACGTGTTGTGTCACGGGCCCTCCCGCGCCACACTGCTTCCATCATAATCTGTGTCATACCATCCGCCTCGCTCACCCACCAGAGACACTCTTATCAATCATCTCAGTACCACCTCAGACCACCTCAGAGTTAGGTACCCATGTGCCAAGTTAGTATTATGTGGGGATTATAATGAAATTGACACCACTGATATCCAGGACCAGCTATCACTATCACAAGTTGTGAACTTCCCCACACACGGTCAAAATACCCTTGACCTTATCTTAACTGACTTAGTGGACCAGTACCAACCACCTCAACCAATGCCTCCTATCGGGTGTAGCACACACTTATCAGTGCTCTGGTCCCCAGCTGCCACTCCCACTCAAGTACAGAGACCCTACATCAAGACCTACAGGCCGATTACTGACTCTGCAGTGCGCCTCTTCGGGCAGTGGATAGTTCACCATCCCTGGACTGAAGTACTTAGCGTGGATGACGTGGAAACCAAATGGAAAAATTATACCAACACCACCACGGAAGCTCACCACCACTTCTTCCCCGAGAAGTCCGTCATATCTCACCCAGCTGACTTGCCCTGGATCACACCTCGGATCAAAAGACTTAAGCAACAGAGAGACAGAGCCTTTCATCTCAATGACCACATCCGCTACAGGTCCCTTCGCAACCGAGTCATCCGCGAAATACGCACTGCAAAGAAGTCCCACTACCCAACCAAATTACAACACCTGACAACATCAGTCAATGGTATGGTAAGCTTAAAGAACTCTGTGGACTAAACAATAAGACGCACCCCCCTCCCCTTCCTTAGCCATCTCACTAATGTTGACGCAGCTGAGCAATCAAATAACCATTTCGCTACTATATGCCAGACGCTCCCCCGGCTTGACACAACCACTCTCCCTGCTTACCTACCAGCCCCCCTTCCCACTGACTTAGTAGAAGAATTTGAAGTAGCGAAACGCCTGGACAAACTAAAATTAAAACGCTCTACCACCCCTATTGACTTACCAATGAAACTCTTCAAGAAGTTCTCCCCGGAGCTTGCTAAGCCCCTATGCTCCATCATCAATGCTTCTCTCAGTCAAGCCAGATGCCCAGCTGACCGGAAGACCTTTTATGTATCACCAGTGCCCAAGTCAACCAGCCCACAATCCTTAAATCAGTTACGACTTATTGCAATCACCCCAATACCCAGCCTAATCTGTAAAAGTTTTGTGTTCGACTGGGCTTATGCTGATATTGCAGGAGTCGTAGACCCTCAGCAATTTGGCAATATGAAAACTTCCTCCACCACTCACTGTCTTGTCAGCTTTCTCGATTACATATACCGCCATCTCGAGAAACGAAAAACGTCTGTAGCTGTCGCCTTCACTGATTTCACTAAAGCATTCGACCTAGTCGACCACAATATAATCATCAACAAAGCTATTGACCTCGGGCTTCGGAGAAGTCTTATACCATGGCTTACAGACTTCCTCAGTGACCGACGCCAAGCTGTACGCTACCGAGGGGCTGTCTCCACCTTTCAGTCACTCACCTGTGGCGTCCCCCAAGGCACCAAGATGGGACCACTCTGCTTCCTTATGCTTATCAATGATGCCCTAAGAGAAACCCCTGCTCGCTGGAAATATGTCGATCAGCGTCAACAATTCTGCTCCCGACTATACCGCCCTTCAGGATTTATTGAACAGTCTCCACAACTGGGCCACCAACAACCACGTCACCATCAACAATACCAAGACCATGGTTATGCACATCAACCTCTCCTCCGACATTGTCCCACCCCCTTCCATTAATTTAGGTCCGAACACGCTCCAGGTTGTAGATTCCACGAAGCTCCTTGGCGTCACCATAGACAACAAACTAAATTGGAAACCACACGTCAGTGAAGTTGTCAAATCCTCCAGTTTCCGTCTCCACCTCCTCCGCCGACTCAAGTCCCTCGGAGTTCCTGCACCCGAGCTCCTCAGTGTTTACTCAACATTCATACTTCCCAAGCTCACCTATGCCTCCCCTACCTGGTCTTCCTCCCTAAATGCCACACAACGTAAACACCTAGAAAAGTGCAAAAGAGGGCATGCAAGATTATTCTCTCCCCTTCCTACTCCACATATCAAGAAGCGCTCAACACACTGACCCTTTCGACTCTCACTGACCATCACCACGACCTCATCTGCAAATTTGGTAAGAAGCTTCTGCACCATCCTCGACACCGGCTCCTACTACCACCTGAGATCCCCTGTCCGAGAATTGCTGTTCGACACCACAACCGCATCCAGCCCATACATGCACGAACTGATCGCTATAAGAACAGCCCAGTCCCAACCATTGTAAAAATTATCAATAACTGAAGAGTTAAACGGAGTAAAGTTAATAGTGTGTGTGTGTGTGTGTGTGTGTGTGTGTGTGTGTGTGTGTGTGTGTGTGAAGGCCTTGCCCCACCTACTACAGCCCGGCTCTGTGTGTGTCATCTACTGTGCATTGTATAACATTTAGTCTCTATTGTCCACCTCTCCCTGGGTATTGTTTTGACGATAACCCGCCACCACAACCTTAAACTAGTGCCCTAACACCCTCCTACACTTACGATCTCTTTTCCCGGCTTATAACACCAGGAGTTTCGTACCTATTGACATGAATTCATAGCATGTTATTGCCACTTTGTTGGTTCGTTCTCTCGGGGTTGATAAGTGGGTTATGAGTTGAGGATTTGTTAGGTATTGTTTTACTTAATAATAGTATAGGGTTTTCGTCTCTATAGGCTATTATTATATGGCACTACTCCCCCTCCCCCTCCACTCCACTCCCTGCGCTTAAGGCTATCCGGTGACGTCATTGGACTGTTTTCAGTGACGTAATTGACAACGTGATTAATCATATGTTAAGACTAGTCCAACATTTTTCACACCTGAAGTTTTTTTTCTTTTCTTTTTTTTACATATCTAACAATTGGCTGATGCTTATTTTTTTTTTCGTTAACTATAGATAAAAATAATTTAACTCTAGATAATTATATTTTACCTTAACACATTATAAACCGTTGGCTATTTTTCCTGATTTTCATGGTAGTGAATTTTAATGGAACTCACAATGCGAATTTTCCTTCTAGATTTTAAGGAATTATATCTGTTTACCTGTACTCTGTTTACCTGTCCTCTGTTTACCTGCCCTCTGTTTACCTGTCCTCTGTTTACCTGTCCTCTGTTTACCTGTCCTCTGTTTACCTGTCCTCTGTTTACCTGTCCTCTGTTTACCTGTCCTCTGTTTACCTGTCCTCTGTTTACCTGTCCTCTGTTTACCTGTCCTCTGTTTACCTGTCCTCTGTTTACCTGTCCTCGAACGTACAGTAAATCAGGAAGAACATCGTAAACATAAGAATATACAACAGGATATTATTATTTTTCTCTTGTTTATCATTATATTCCAATTATCTTCATAAGTTTTATTGTTCCTTCCTTTATACATTTATTTTGAGGATAAGGAAGAGTTTATCAGTTTATTTATGAGTGTTGCTGCGAGACTACACACCTGTTCATACCTAGTACACACCTGTTTATTCCTAGTACACACCTGTTCATTCCTAGTACACACCTGTCCACTCCTAGTTACACACAGGCTGTCCACTCCTAGTTACAAACACCTGTCCACTCCTAGTACACACCTGTTCACTCCTAGTACACACCTGTCCACTCCTAGTACACACCTGTCCACGTAGTAAAACAGAAAACCCACAGAACCAAGGAGGTGAAGACGAATCTCTCGGTGAGGTAAAAATGTTCCTTCTCCTCTTTGTTGTTTTGAGAGAGAGAGAGAGAGAGACTTTATTCTTCAAGGTATTGGGTGAACAATGTGCTTCCTCTTCCTCCTCCTCCTCCTCCTCCTCCTCCTCCTCTTCTTATTCTTCGTCTTCTTTCCTCGTGTGTCCTCTGTTCATGTCCTTCTGAACGTGTATTGTGTCTGTCTTGGGGGAGGAGGTGTCTTTGTTTAGCGTGTCTGGGATTGTGTTTTAATGTTTTTTTACTTTTTTTTTTTGGGGAGGAATATGATATTTTGTATACCTCTCTCTCTCTCTGCGCGGAAGAAATATAAAACTCTTTCAAGACAACAATAAATAATTTTGATATCTCACGTTCATACCTGTCTTGCCTTACCTCCCCTTCACCACCACCACCACCACCACTCACCACCACCACCACCCCCTCCACCACCCTACCATCCACCTACCACCACCACTCATCACCACCACCACCACCACCACCATCACCATCACCACCACCTCATCACACCATCTCCACCACCATCACCACCACCACCATCATCTCACCATCACCACCACCACCCACCATCTCACCACCACCACCACCACCATCACCACCACCACCACCATCTCCCCCACCACCACCACCATCACCATCTCCTCACCATCACCCACCACCATCTCACCATCACCACCACCACCACCATCTACCATCTCCTCCTCACCATCACCACCATCACCATCACCACCACCATCTACCATCTCCCTCTCACCATCACCACCACCACCTACCATCTCCCTCTCACCATCACCACCACCACCTACCATCTCCCTCTCACCATCACCACCACCATCTACCATCTCCCTCTCACCATCACCACCACCACCTACCATCTTCCTCGCACCATCACCTCCACCACCTCACTACACCGCCCTTCTCATCAATTGGTCTTATACCCCCATTCTTCCTTCCCTCAGGGCGCTACACATGAAGGAACACCCCGACTACAAGTACCGACCCAGGCGTAAAGCAAAGAGTCTAGCCAAGAAGGATAGCAGGTAGGTCCAAGTTGTTGTGTTGTTGTGTTGGCATAATTCAGTCTAATGCGGTTGTGTACTGTATGTTTATATGATGATTTAAAGTATGGTATCTTTTTTCGTGGGTGACAGTCGGTTTTTTTTTTCAGGTACCACTTCCAGTTGCCAATGTTCCAGCCAATGCTTGAAGGTTTCCGTCCCTTCTACGCACCGCATCACCTACTGGCGCCCCCGGGAGTACCTGGAGGACCACCGGACAAGTCCCCTGGAGATTTATCCCGCTCCATCCTTCCTCCCCCTCCCCTTTTCCCTCCACATCTCTCTGGCCTCCACTACCCGCCCATGGATTCTGTTGTCCTCTCGAGGATAAACTCACCCGATGCTCTGGGACTGTCGAAGCTGCCCACCTCAGAGGCTCTATCGCTGTCCAAAATGTCCTCCGTCGAGTCGTCATTGTTCTCCCGACTGGCGCCACACAATGTGTTCGATCTGTCTAGGTTGTCGTCGCCGCCTCACATGACCTCGCCGCACCTGGCCTCGTCATCTGGGCTGGCCACGTCGGGGGTTACCGCCAGTCTAAACTCTGGTTTATCGTCTCCCATCCCTCACTCAGCGTCGCCGAACCTAACACCCTCCAGCCTGGCGTCTCCGATACCCAAGTACCCGTCCGAGGTATCCGCCACAAGTGTTCTTTCCAGACTACCGCTGGATAACCCTTACCTAGGTCTGACGGCGCGAGACCTGGATCACCTCCGTTTCCAACAACTCCACACTCTAGAGAGAGAAAGAAGAATCAGAGAAGAGCTGGCAGTGTCTCCTCCGCCCTCCAGAAGCAGGTCACCATCACCGTCCAGCCCTAAGATTGATGTCGACAGTCGTTCCAGAGAATCCAGTCCTGCGAGAAGCCCACATGAGACTGACGAAGTCGATTTTAGGAGAATTCCTGAACTGATCAGTCGTGAAGAAGACCCAGAAGTCTCCAACAGTAATGACTCGAGAGCTTTCGTCAGGTATGGTGAACGGAAGACTTTCAACGTCAGCCCAGAGTCTCCCAGCGGCAAGTGTCAGGCGCCGTCCCCACCAGGAGCGCTGCGCCTCCCTTATCCCTTTTCCCCCGCCGCCCTCGCCACCAGTCTCTACTCCTCCGCCCCTCACCACGCCGTCGTATCCTCACCCTCCGTCGTCGCCTCTGCAGCAGATATGGCCAGTCAGTATATTGTTGGTGTTATTTCAATGATAGCTGCATGAAAACAACATTATGCTTTATATATGAGATAAAATGTGTGCGTGTGCGTGTGTGCGTGTGCGTGTGTGTGTGCGTGTGTGTGCGTGTGTTTACCTGTTAATTTGTACATAATTTGCTTCCCCATCAATATCATTTCAAGTTGTAATTATTTGTATAGATAAAAACAACACTTCTGTGCCTCCCTCCCCCAGCCGGCCTCCTAGATAGCTCACAAGGCACTCCTCCGTCACCTCCTGAGCCGGTCATATATTAATGTCTCTCTCGATAGCGTCTCTCTGACCTTTCTTCTCTCCCTCCCAACAGGAAATTACTTCACCAGCTGCGTGTACCCGTCGGCAGGAACCATGGGCTACCCGCACGACCCACGGACCGCCCTCTCTTACCTCCTGGTGCGCCCTGAGGCCAAATATCTCTCCTCACCCACCCTCACGCCCTCGCTGACGCCCACACTGACCTCCGCGTCGCCTCCTTCCGTCGTCCAGTGAAGGCAGAAGATAGTCGCTAAATACCCAGGCTTAATGGGCACCTCAGCACCCCCTCCCCTTCTCCTCACCATGTTAAGCATCGGCTATCCTTGAAGACACCGACGGCGACGAAAATGACTACTCGCTGTTACCAGAGGGGCTACTGAACTCTCACTACACCATGGACTACTACTACTACTACCACCACCACCACCACCACTACTACTACTACTACCACCACCACCACCACCACAACACCACTGAAAGGACCACCACAAGCCCCTTTCCATCCTCGTATTTGGTGGTGAGAGCTTAACCAGTGCCCATCAGGTAACCACACAAACAGCCACACACCTGTATATAATGACGTAACAAAGTGTCGCCAGTCACCTGCAGGAAGCTGACCCAGGGATAATTACCACCTGTGTATAAACATAATAAACCTGAGTAATTTACAAAAGAACCCCAGAAAAAAAATAATAATTAAAAAAAAAAAAGTCTTGCTAAATATTCATATATGTGGTAAAATACATTATACAGTAGAGAGAAAAAATACCTTAGATGTGTATGATAGAATATACAACTTGTAGAGAGGAAAAAAAATGGTGTTTAATACTTACTGATGGTGTATAGATAATCGCCTGTGTATAATTATAATATCTTGTTTTTAATGAACATAATATAAACCGTATTTATATTATGTGTGAATATATGTGCAATATTTTCTGATCTTATTTAACTGTAGACACTTATTCGCTATATTGATATAATGTTAATGGTGTATTATTATTATTATTATTATTATTATTATTATTATTATTATTATTATTATTATTATTATGAGATATATAATTCATCGTTCCGTTTCTTTGTTTGTTTGTCTGAAGAACTTTAACAGTAATTGCTCCTTCCTCTAAAATGCTGCGTTTCTTTCCCAAAATACATAACCTCTCACATAAAATACATTACATCTCACTTAAAATACATTACCTCTCACCTAAAATACATTACCTCACCTAAGATACATTTCTCACCGTTAAAATGTACTGCTCTGCGTCACCAACTAACTGATCAGCAGCACAAACAGTGACCACAGCTGTGATAAGACCTACTTCACTGATTCGTCTACATTACGTATCGACTGAGCTAAATTAAACCACTTAAATAACTCACTGGTCTCTCTCTCTCTCTCTCTCTCTCTTCCTCTTCTTCCTCTCTTGATGTTTCTATTTAATATCAGATCAAAACTTCATAAGGAACAGCCGCCACCGTCCTCCCTCACAGCCACTGGGTTACTGCCAATGTAAACAAAGTCACCAGCGACGTGATCATGGCTGGAGTCTCACTGTTTTCGTTTTTGTAAATGAATCCACCGCCAATTTGGGAACGCAAGAACGAACCCGATTATAGTAGTGTTTTCAGGTAAATTCGATACCACTAAGCTAAAATTTCTGTAGTATTTTTAAGTGGGATAAATACATAGATTATAAGACGAAGAGAGTTGTGGCTGTTGAGGAAGATTGTGGTTACTGGGGAAGATTGTGGTTACTGAGAAAGATTGTGGTTACTGGGGAAGATTGTGGTTACTGAGAAAGATTGTGGTTATTGAGGAAGATTTAAGGGGAAGGAGTAATTGTCGTTGATAGTCCAGAAACCTTTTTTTTTTTCTAAGCATTTATTTATTAGGTAATGATCGGTCGTTGTGTAGAGCATGTGTGTGTGTGTGTGTGTGTGTGTGTCGTGTTACCTGTGTTATCTATGTCTCTACCATGATGTAAATAGACCTTTTAGAGATGTAAGTCTGTAGGATACATTAATAAAGAAGTGAGTTATGTTATCTCCTCAATCGGAATGTAAAGTAAAATAAATAATCAAAATATAATTGAGGACTTTTTGATAGGAAGAGTTTATGTGTGACAGACCAAGACTCGGCAGTTAGTGATCACAGCTCCCTGAGACTCGTATCTTGTCGTGCTGAGGGAGATAATGTGCTCACCTGACCACACCTTACCCAATCGATTTATTTCCTTATATAAAGATTAATATCAGACTTTGTTGTATCTGTTGTGTTGTAACATATATTACTGATATTATTTGTGTCTTATATATATATATACTATAAAAGGTATCGATGTATATTTTTCGGTCTGTGGAACATATTTCAGTGGATGTGTTCATAAGTTATACACATTTTTTCTCAGAAGTTGAATTATGTTATTATTATGATGATGTTCGGTCCAACAGTACAACTTCTCACTTTTGAACCTTTGAAAAAAATATTAACCATTAACCCGGCTGAACCCTGAAGGGGTCTCCGATGTGCTTCTTGTGGAGTGTAGGAGGACCCCAGCACCCAGGGGTGTGGAGGAGGACCCCAGCACCCAGGGGTGTGGAGGAGGACCCCAGCACCCAGGGGTGTGTAGGAGGACCCCAGCACCCAGGGGTGTGGAGGAGGACCCCAGCACCCAGGGGTGTGGAGGAGGACCCCAGCACCCAGGGGTGTGGAGGAGGACCCCAGCACCCAGGGGTGTGGAGGAGGACCCCAGCACCCAGGGATGTGGAGGAGGACCTTCAGCCACACCACATATCAGCTCGGGTTGTGTAAGTGCGTGGGAGTACTGCCTATCAGTCTGGCCCTGAGATAATGTACATATCATCCAGCAAAGGAGCTTCACGCAGTCGTCAATCTCTCTCTCTCTCTCTCTCTCTCTCTCTCTCTCTCTCTCTCTCTCATTCACTTTTTCCTGCTCACTTTTACCTTTCCCTTTCTTCCTTACTTTCTCACATAACAACTCTCAGAGCCATCATACCACACAGTACCTTCTGCAGCTACACCAACACCTCTCCTCCTCTTCCTCCCGTGTGTACTGCTGACGACTCCTACTGACGAAGGCAACCACCTGTTCCCCAGTGGTGATCGGCCTCTCTCATTATAGCTACACGCTACTACATAGCTTTAATTATTTAGAAGTGTACGTTCTATTGTTTTGTATATTCCTTGTACCCAAAAATCTATTAAAATTGGTGAATGTTGATTTATATTGAATTGTTTCCCCTAAAACTTGGAAATAATTATATGAAGGATGCCTGAGAAATTACCACAGACACATTTTAAACTTATGTAAAATTCTGGTATTATTATTATTATTATCATACAACATTCGCAACATACATCTTACATACTACACAACATACATCATACATACTTCACAACATACATCATACATACTTCACATCTTAAAAATACTGTTGGTTTGTAAACTTATAATTGTTTCATTTTAGCGTTTCAGCCTTTATAAACTAAAAAAAACAAAAAGAATATATAAAGTATAATAATTTTTATCCACTGTAAGAGCTGGTATTAGAGGGTAAATAAAATAATAGATTATAGAAGAACAAGGTTTCCCCCTCCAAGCCACTATGCGAGTCTGAGTTAGGGCTACGGGCGTAAAATATTTACAATTACATGAGTCACAAATTATTCTAATCAAACCTAACTAACTTAATATAACGTAAATATCTCAGTTTTATTAATATTAAATTTTGTTTTTATTTGGTTTAGTTGGTTTGTATCATATGCTGTAATATACACACACGTATTATTTACATCCGTAGTCCCTCCAATGTGACGTTTGTTTACATAATACAGACGACGGTTTTCTATGCAGTGTTATAGCGAACTTCTTAACTTTACACACGTTTAAGGTAAGTTATCTTATTTACACGTACGGAAATGAACTCTAGATAGAATATAGATTATTTGGATAGATATAATTATCCATGTTTTATGTAGTATTAAGCGTAAAAGGGTTTGAGTAAGGAAGGCAGTGGAGAGTGAACAGACGAAACAGTGTTAGGATGTGATATATTAATTATTGCCTAATTGACTTAGATTATCTAGGTATTATTGGTTGATTGGTCATAATCCCACTGTCGTATACTGCATAGAACGTGATTGTGTTGCTGTGGCTGTGTTGTTGTGGCTGTGTTGTTGTGTGGTTGTGGTTATTGTGGTTGTCTGTGTTGCTGTGGTTGTCTGTGTTGTTGTGGTTGTGTTGCTGTGGTTGTTTTGGCTGTGTTGTTGTGGTTGTGTTGTTGTGGCTTTGTTGCTGTGGTTGTGTTGTGGTTGTGTTGCTGTGGTTGTCTGTGTTGTTGTGGTTGTGTTGTTGTGGCTGTGTATCTACTCGGTGAACAGGAGGTGACTAACGGAGCTAGTCTCTCTCTCTCTCTCTCTCAACGCCATGCCCACCAAACCAATCACCATAGGTAATTCTTTAACGCTATTATCATTTGCCCTCCACACATAAATTACAAAACCCAGTGTGGAGATACATACATACATACATACATACATACATACATACATACATACATACATACAGCATTAAATTTGACTTCTGCACCAATACAACACAAGGTAGTAGGTAGAAGGCAGCTACCAAACAGGGAGGTACTACCGCCTGGGAAGATATTGGAAGCATAATGTGTAGTCTAATGGTAGACCCTGCTGCCATATGTGACCAAGTCCCAGGTTGCTGATCTGACTTTCCGCTTCATTTACACGCAATTGCAGGGTCTCAATTGTTTCTCTTACCATTGACAACAGAACATACATATATCGTTTCTCACTTTTGATCTTTTTTTTTCATTTTTGTATTTATAGTTCTTTATTATTAATATTATTATTATTATTATTATTACAGTTACTGTATTATTATCATCATTATTTTATTATTTTATTTTTGTTTGTTTTATCATAAATTTTATTTATTATGACTATTATTTATTATTATTATTATTATTATTATTATTATTATTATTATTATTATTATTATTATTATTATTATATTATTATTATTATTATTATTATTATTATTATTATTATTATTATTACATTTTCGCCCCCCAGGCCCCAATGTGGGTCAGTGACCTGTGCCCGGGTGGTCTTGTTTGTTGTGTGGTGTTCAGTGGTGTAAGTATAAAGGTGTTCAGTGGTGTAAGTTTGGTGTGTGTGCTGGAGGCGTGACTGGGTGTGCTTGAAACTGTCGTGACTGTACATTCATAAAGATCATATCATTGTCCTGTTCTCAACCTGCGTCTTCACCTGTGTGTCCTCGTCTTGTTCTTACCATTGACCTCAAAGCACAGGGGGAGAGACACGTGTCCAATCTTCTTTCCCCACCCACCTCCAGCACCACCCCCAACCTCTCCCCCTAGCACCACCCCACCCCTCCAGCATCCCCCTAACCTCTCAGTACCCACAACTCCTTCCACCCCCCCCCCCCCTTTCTCTCCACCCACATGCCAAAGTGGTATTTTAACTCAAGGAAACAGTGATCGGTCTGACTGTGTGTGTGTGTGTGTTGTCATCATTAAACAACACGGAAGCACCACAGCCAAAGTCTTCCTTTAAGGGAGGAGAATCAGCAAGAACAGACTGTGTCCATGGGTGAGGATGCACAACTGAGCTTGTACATGTAAACACAGACGTGTGAAGGTGTACACAGTTAAGGCTGAAGGCGCTAGATATAATAATAATAATAATAATAATAATTAACGGTTTATTGAAAGAGCTTGGCAGCCAGAAGGCTGAAAATATACAGTTACATATTTGGGGAATGGGTTACGAATTACAAATATTATACAAGTAACATAAGTGACACAAATAAGACATATAATAACTAGATGGGGAAAGGCTCAAACTACAGTTCATTTCAACATAGTGACAGTGTAAGGAGCAGTGGTTACTGGGAGTGAATACACTGATTTATTACAAGTTATTGATAATTTTTACAATGGTTGGGACTGGGCTGTTCTTATAGCGATCAGTTCGTGCACGTATGGGCTGGATGCGGTTGTGGTGTCGAACAGCAATTCTCGGATGTACATGTTAGGGTGTACAGGCAGTCGAGGATGTACAAGTTAGTATGTTAACACGTAGGGGGGGGGTGTACATATATATATATATATATATCGGTGTAGAGGCGTGGAGGCATGGGCCCCCACCGCTGGCTGTGTGTTGAGAGCGGTGCGTGTAATCACTTTCACACACCACCTCGCCAAGAATATGAATTTTAATATCCACTGTTGCCGACGGCGGGTCCTCAGTTTCTCTCCTCCTGACAGAGCTGGGGTGGTGATCCCTCCTCTACTGCCTTCCTTAAAACTGTGCCTCCTCCTCCTCCTTCTCCTCCTCCTGGACCTTGTTATCTTACCTTCCTTAAATTATGCCTCCTCTTTTGCTTCCTTGTCTCTGGTGTAGCTGAGGGGTGTTGATTCCTCCTAGATCTTACCTTCCTTCAAACTATGCCATAGCTCCTCCTCCTCCCTCTTGTCTTATTGTTGCATGGATTCTAGACACGTATTGTTGTTCAGTCTTTTCTTCGTCTTTGAATACAATGAACCAGAAGAAGAAAAAAAATAATATTCTTCCTAACTTTCAATTTTGTTTTGTTTTTATCCCGAATACAAAAACAAATAAAGAGGCCCCTTAAATTAATTCACACTTTACATGTACAAGAATAGATATTGTTTTTTTTTAATCAATTATCACCGTTTTATTAAGTGTCTATAGAAAGATGTTTTAATGGTATATTTTGCTGTAAAATGAAATATAAAACACCATCACCTAAAACAATTATTCCTTCGTGGTTTATTGATTATCACCAGAAATTCCTTAAATAAGCGAACATTTAGACACACAAGTAAACGTTGAGCAAGAGTTAAGGGTTGATATATATATATATCAGACACAGTGTAAGTGTAGAAAATGGAGCTATGGCTGAGTGTGAATAATGTAGAAGAGGGGGAGGGAACACAGAAGGCCAAGTAGGTGTGTGTGAGGAGGGAACACAGAAGGCCAGGTAGGTGTGTGTGAGGGGGGAACACAGGAGGCCAGGTAGGTGTGTGTGAGGAGGGAACACAGGAGGCCAGGTAGGTGTGTGTGAGGGGGGAACACAGGAGGCCAGGTAGGTGTGTGTGAGGAGGGAACACAGGAGGCCAGGTAGGTG